CTGGGCCTGGTACCGACGGTCTCGGCAAAGCAAATGTGGAATGAATATAGGGGGGAACAGAGGAGAGATCGGGGACGGTATGCAAGGTGTACCTGGCGCCCAGCGCAAGGGGATGCAGGCAGGTCAACACGTTGAAGCGCAAGCAACCACGGGGGAACAGTGTGCAAGGCGTACCTGCAATACCTAGCTCAGGGCGGAAGCATCGAGGGGCAGAATGATGCACGGGGGATGAGGAGAGAGGACTGAGGGATTGCATGGGAGGTGTGCCCGGCGTCAAGGAGTTGCAGAGTGGGAGGCAAGCACGAGGGAGACGAGTCGGTGCTCAGGCGGTTACACGCGTGTGAAAGGAAGAGTGAGAGAGAAGGGGACTGCACAGCGGGAGCGAGAGACTGCGGGTGAGAGAGAGAGTGACTGTGCAGTAAGTGAGAGAGTGAGAGACTGCACAGATAGAGAGAGAGTRTGCRYAGKDAGAGAGAGGGAATGCACTCATTGAGAAAGACAGTAAGTAAGAGAGAGRGAGAGGAAAAGAGGATCCTGTAGTGAACTAGCTGATGAGAAAGAGAGGGAGGAAGCAAAGTGGGAGAAAGCAAATACAGTTGGCTCGCCGAGTGAGGGAACACTAATTAGTAATTACYTTTGAATACAACARCTGCTAATCACRCAACTGGCTTRCCAAGTGCTGGTCCTCTAAWTACCTCTGAATATAACAGTTGCTGATCACASAGCTGGCTCACGAAGTGCGGATGCATTTATTACTTCTGAACTCAAATACAACTKYTGATCACACAGTTGGCTCTTCGAGTGCTGGTGCACTAATTACTTCTGAACTCAAATACAGTTGTTGTCAATGCGAGCTCACGGGGTCAGGCTATGGACGAAGGGATATGGGAAAATGGACAAAGAGTGCACAGATAGATAGATAGATAGATAGATAGATGGATAGATAGATAGATAAATAGAGAGAGAGAGAGAGAGAGAGAGAGAGAGAGAGAGAGAGAGAGAGAGAGAGAGAGAGAGAGAGAGAGAGAGA